TGGCTTTGGGTTACGTTGCGCAATTCCAAATTCTGACAACTAGAGAAACCGTGAGCGTCTGTTTTCCATTTAAAACAAGCAAACAAACAAAAACAGACAAAGAGTATACAGGACATGCCTACAATAAATCAATACAAATGTTTATCAGAATTCCGTGTGCCAATAACTATTAGTATATTCACTATATTGTAAGATAATGGTGACTTCTTTTTTCGCTTAAATTTCCCCTTTCCACATTTCTTTACGTCAGTTTTTAACTTAAAGTATGTTTGTGTTCATGGTGTATTGGGTGTATTTTTTTCATCGTCACTTTTAATCTGTTACAGTATCAACCTTGAAATTCCATGCCGTGATAGGTTTTACCAGCTGGATACCAGAACTAACGTCACTGTAAATGTTGATGTATTCTACATGCATGTACCCAACTCGTGCCACACCCTTACGTACCACACCTTACAACTTCCGTGTTATCTATTTGATGCGATCATTGACCACAGTGCTATGCCCCAAAGATATCATATTGAGACATACCTATTGTAATAACTAGAAGGCAATGGTACATTCACAACGTATTTATTCATCCAGTATACATTGCAGCAATAAACCAACACTCTTTGGATTGAGAAACCGCTCCCTGGATTGAGAAGGACCTCTTGCGACCACGAAATGCATTACACATATGCATGTAAAGACATTCCACAAGAAGTCATGAGTTTAGATTCAATTGTGTTTCTTCTCCTTCTGTTCTTGTTGTTTCCCTCTCACAATTTGTCGGTACGTCAGACGACAAACACACACCAACCCGCCTAACACTACAGCTAGAACTGCTACAAAGAAAGCTATGACGTCGAGCAGGAAATACTGGTGAAAGGGGATTGTGTGTGCGCGCGTGCGCAGATGAGGCAGCCCGCCGTGCCTGATGAGGTGCTCTAACCACCACATGGCGCGGTCCATGGGCGGGGTGGGCTGGTCAGCCAGGATCCGGGCAGCGCGGTCCACGTTCTCCTGGTAACTGGGAACATGAACAAGGGGGTTCGTCAGTATTATAAAAACAACTTTCATCTAAAGAAGCTGTGACACGCTGAAGGGGGTACAGATACAGATACAGATGCAGATCTATGTTGGTACATAGCAATATTTAAAAAAATAACTTCAATCCTACACAAAAATTGCCTTCTGATCTTCTTCATGATAACTGATTGCACAGGACACGTGACCTTCCAGAAGTGAGGTACTATGTGTGAGTAACGGGTCAAAGGTTGATGGAAGTCGGTATCGGCCCCCGTATTTGGTAATGTTCCATTTTACGTAGGTTATCACTGAACCTCGACCAACCGAAGACTACACCATACTAGTATACTACTTGGAGATACTAGTACTAGTACATGTACTCTCTTCCTACCTCTTTGTTTCTAAGACGTGGTTGATGGCCTGTAGCAGTTCCTCCGTTGTCATGGTGAAGATGTCGAGTTTGACGCCGAACCCCCGTCCCACCACGCGGGCCACGTTGTCGTGATGGTCGGCGGCGAGCGGGAGAGACACCATCGGTACCCTGTGGTGGACGGACTCGTACACGCCGTTGGTCCCTCCGTGGGTGACGAAAAGCCTCGTCTTCTTGTGCGCTGTTGGAGGAAAAAGAGAAGAATGCTATACATGATTTTGTGTACATCTACGACCATGTATCTCACGTGAAATGTCTATTTGAAATAGATCATGGGCCAGGGTCTAGTTTCTGGGTCCAGACCAAAATTATAGGGCACAATTCTATAACACAGTCAAATGTTCTCCACTTGCCAACGTTAACGTTTTAAAGGAAAGTGCTACACATGATACACCTCCCCGAGACGTGGGTAGGTGCAAACTCGGAACCATGTTAGCAACGCCACTATGCGACGATGCTTAGCTGGCAACTTGCAGGAAAAAAAACTGACGTAGCGCACACGTACCCAACAGATCGTCCTGTGGTACCCAACTCATCGGCTTGACGTTGGGAGGAAATTCCACACTGTTTGGGTCGATGTCTGGAGCCAATTTCCATATGACTTTTTGTGGCACTTGTGCGAAAGCCTTCAAGAGGACCTGTTCTATCCTCTCAGGCATGCCCGCCGTCGTAGAACCCAGACTAAAGAGGATCACTCCCGCATCTCCGGAACTCTTCATGAAATCTTCCAAGTCCTGCAATAGTAATCAACAAAATGACAACTAAAACAATGGTGGTAGCAACAAGATTGTATCGCAATGGAACGTCTTCATTAAAATAAGCTACCCACATCTAGACTCGAGCTCATCAACGTTTATTGAACCGGGACGGGCCCCGATACAGACTTCCAACCACCTGTCACTTGCGTCTGTCAATCGAGGCCTCAGACATCCTTAATCAAGAAGTCCACAGGATTGGTCGAAGTCCACTCTTCTTGTGAAGTTTTGAGAAAGTTAAAGTCCCTTCCACAATAAAAAGTAACATTAACATGAGGTACCTGTGAGAGTGGTTTGGGTTCAACAGAATTGTACCCTGCTATGTTGACGACGTTGGGCATTGTCGGGCGGGCGAACTCTACAGTGAAGTCTGCCACAGATAACCACAGGTCGGTGTCGTACAGTAGCTCTTCTGTTGTGGTGTCGTTGGAGATGTATCTGTGCACGATGAAGTCAAAGGCAGAACACTCTACACCGAGATAGTACCTTGCTCCCGCGTAGTACAGAACATTCTGTATTTTTTCTTTGAAAGTCATTTCCGTGGTGAATCCGCTAGGCATGACGGGCCAGTACGCTAGTGGGAAGGGGTTCCCTGAGCCGAAGAGCATGGTGGAAGAAGGAACGTAGACAATGGCGGAGGGTAAGCCAAGATAACGGGCCAACACAGGGCCACAAGGGAAGTCCGGGGCGGTCGACAACACAACGTCATACTTGAGACCTTTGGCTTTCTGTCGCTTCAAATGCAGAAGTAGCGCTTCACAACTTTTGCTGCCCTCCGCCAGGTAGTTTTCAACTGTCGTCAACAGATTTGTGTATTCCCCTTCCCAGTAGTGACCTTCGAAAGCGCGTCCTGCTGCCAGTGTTCCCGGGTCGCACGGAACTCCTTCGTACTTCACCTTATCTTGCACAGGTGTGCTGATGAGGTGCTTGAAGACATCTTCAGGCATAAGCATGGTTACGTTGTGTCCCCTAGCGGCCAGGGTACGTCCCAGCAGCCGGAGGGTTAGCCATGTGCTGTGGGGAAGTTGGTTGATGATGAGAACGTTGGAACCTTCATCTGCTGCAGTTTTACTGCCCGAGCCGTGAACTTGTAGATCAGAGAACAGAAATAGCAAGAAGACGAAGGTGACGTCACGGAGAATCAAGGCCATGGTCATGTGATGACTTCACCACCACCTGGATGAAAGGCGTTTGGATTTATGGAAAGTTAAAAAGGACGAATTAACTTTCATTCAGCGTTTGTATACATCGTGCACTCACAAACACACACACACACACACACACACAAACAAACACAAACTTACATGCACACGTATACGTGCACACGATCACCGTGACACAAACACACACACCGTTACACACTGTCACACACCACACACACACACACACACACAAACTGACACACACACAAACTATCACACACACACGCGCGCGTGCACACACACAAACACACACACACACGAAGTAATTAAGTAAAGTATTGTCGTGACATGAGAGGTTCATACTTACCCGAGTGTTTGTTTTGGACAGAGAATCAGCCCTGCCCCGCTTGCCCTCCGATCTCCAATCATGATAAACTGTTCCCTGCCACATGTCCACACTAAATAACTAGTTAATGTTTAACACATGGTTTCTGAACTCACGTCTACACCTCTGAGTAAGACCATGTAAGTGTGTAAGTCTAACACTAACCTCACATATATAGCATAAAGTATTATACCAACGTTAACAGGTGTCTAAAATGCACTTTTATCTTCACAGGTAAAACTAGTGATCACCTTTATTCCCATGTCAACCAATGGCCCACCAATATGCAAACCGTGGTTAACAAATACGGTTTTGTCATATTTACGTTTATTTGATAGCACCATATGCGCGATTTGAAATGTTATTCTACTTTCAGCCTAGGTGAGCCGCTCTGTCCTTACAATGCCTTATCGGTCGTGCGCGCCTTGAAGCACGGCGATCTAGTCACTTTTCCCGGTGGTCAATCGGTGTGATGTTTCCCAAAACTCCCCCCTTTTTTCTAGACGTGTAGTTATTTGTAATTGGCTACACATTATACGTGATTATCATCCATATCAAGAGTGTTAGAAATAGGAGACCTTCCGTACGTACCTTGTGGACCGGTATCCGTCTTCCTGACTCACTCAGTGAGAAAGAGGTGAAGGACAAAGGGGGGAAAGAACAATTTTGTCTTCCGATTCCACTACTTAATAAGTAACCTATCTGCAAATAAGTATTTTAACAAGCAGCACAGCAAAATACACGGAATGTTTAGAATTCTGTTGCCCATTAAACTAGCCCATTCCAACCTTGATAGATTGTGATACGGCCCATGGTTAGTTAAAGGGTACGGGTCTCTACCGTAAATTGTGTTTGTTATAACTGGGTATGAACGTGTTTGCGTTTTAATACAACAGAGCAAATATTACTCGTACGAGCTACATTTTGCTATCGAAACATCTAATCAATGTGGTAATATTAGGGCGAAGCTTATTTGTGTGTATGTTCATTGTTTTCTCGAGCAAAGCTCTCATTTAGTGGACACTGGCAATGTCAGGCAAAAAAAACATATCTGAAACCAAAATGTTATCTGAAAATAAGCAATAATTTATTTCATAACATCACCAATTTATTTTAATATCAAACAATCTCACGCTAGGCATATGCTAGTCACAAAGTATAAGTCGTAAATTTTGTACACCATTGCAGATGATATTAGTTTATATATCAGTCATTAGATAGCAGCAAAGAAGCATTGGATAGCGGCAGATGAATCGTGTAAACTTCATTGATGAAAATCAGTTGTCTTTCTTCTCCTTCTGTTCTCTTTGTTGTTTCCCTCTCACAATGTTTCTGTACGCCAGACGACAAACACACACCAACCCGCCTAACACTACAGCTAGAACTGCTACAAAGAAAGCTATGACGTCGAGCAGGAAATACTGGTGAAAGGGGATTGTGTGTGCGCGCGTGCGCAGATGAGGCAGCCCGCCGTGCCTGATGAGGTGCTCTATCCACCACATGGCGCGGTCCATGGGCGGGGTGGGCTGGTCAGCCAGGATCCGGGCCGCGCGGTCCACGTTCTCCTGGTAGCTGGGAACATCAACAACGGGGTTCTGTAAGTATTAACTAATGTTCGTACATAACATTATGCAATAAATATAGAATACTACACGGCGTATTCCATTTCGCCCGAGGTACCAGCCCTACCGCGGGTCAGGTGTGATAACCACCCCATAAACGAGCTCGTTCGCTCCGCTCACTTGCTGGTTTATTCTGTAGTTATCGCACGTTACCAGGGATTATCTCACCATATATACCTCGGAGCGGGGCATTAACCCTAAACAACACAAAAATGGACTCGACCAGTCTTTTGGTCTTCTTCATGATACATGATTGCTCAGGACACGTGACCTTCCAGACGGGTCAAAGGTTAATGGAAGTCGGTATCGGCTCCCGTAGTTGGTAATGTTCCATTTTAGGTTGTTACTCGCACTGAACCTATAGCTAGTCCCGGTAGAAAATCGAGGGGAGCGGACGAAAGCTAAAAAGGCTGACACTCAGGCTACACTACTGAACCCCGACTACCCAAGAACACATCAAGACAAGCTGACACCATACATCTGCTTGGAGCATACTAGTACACTCTTCCTACCTCTTTGTTTCTAAGACGTGGTTGATGGCCTGCAGCAGTTCCTCCGTTGTCATGGTGAAGATGTCGAGTTTGACGCCGAACCCCCGTCCCACCACGCGGGCCACGTTGTCGTGATGGTCGGCGGCGAGCGGGAGAGACACCATCGGTACCCTGTGGTGGACGGACTCGTGCACGCCATTGGTCCCTCCGTGGGTGACGAACAGCCTCGTCTTCTTGTGCTCTATTGGACAGGTGAGCGGCACTTCATTATCATGGTATAATATTCACAATAAAGCATGGGTCTGTAGACCTCTACATACAGCCTACAGGGAGGCTATGACAGAATCGACTGCCGAGCAGGATCTACTTTGCCGTCACTTCTACGGCTGTCCTAGCCTGTACCAGGCTTCGGGAAGTGCCAAAGAAAAGAGTAGAAATTGGCCAAATAGACAGATAATATGGTAGGGGGGTTGGTTGCGCTAAGAGAACAGTTTTCAATGAGTGAGTAGACTCTACCCGCTAGCTGCAAACTGTTCTGGCCCGGTAGACGCTACGACTGTCCTCGGGATGTTCTCAATCGACCTGCTGTCGTAAACCTGTCGCACGACGTATGTCACGACGGCTTTAGGGACAAGACTAGCGTACACGCACCTAGCACATCGGTTTGTGGTACCCAACCCATCGGCTTGACGTTGGGAGGGAATTTCACACTGCTGGGGTCGGTGTCTAAGGCCATTTTCCAGATGACCTTCTGCGGTACTTGCGCGAAGGCCTTCAGCAGGACCTGTTCTATCCTCTCAGGCATGCCAGCCGTGATGGAGCCCAAACTGAAGAGGATCACTCCCGCGTCTCCGGAACTCTCCATGAATTCTTCTAGATCCTAATGAAACAGAAATTCAAGAGACAAAGATGGGTAAGGATAGGGGAGGTGGTTTGTGCATGACTATTGGGAAAAAGTATGATATGAACAATGGAAGGCGATACATGGCTAATGATGTAGATCTCCAAGCATGCAGATGTTAGGCTTGCTTTGCACGTCTTTTTTTTTTTACCTTTTTGTCGGGATGTCTATTATTCTCTCTTCAGCTTTGTGTACAAAAAAGGCCTAAAGAGACGCCCAAAGCAAACCAGAGAGGAGAGTACTAGCTTTGGATATCGTTGTGGAAGCGTCAGAGGTAGGAGTATGAAAGACGAAACGATTATACGTATATTCTGGACCTAATAACATTACAGGATGAACACAAAACATTTTGAGCTTGATAAACTATTGAGCATATTTTAGTGTCTACAAATATCGCGACAAACAAGCTCCTAAGTACATGTTAATGATATTGACGTGATGTACTAGTACCTTTGGGAGAGGTTTTGGCTCAACAGAATTGTACCCTGCTATGTCGACGACATTTGGCATGGTCGGGCGGGCGAACTCTACAGTGAAGTCTGAAACAGACAGCCACAAGTCGGTTTCATACAGGATCTCTTCCGTGCTAGTGTCCTTGGAGATGTATTTGTGCACGATGAAGTCAAACGAGGAACACTGTACGCCTAGGTAGTACCTCGCTCCCGCGTAGAATAGAAAGTTTATTATTTTCTCCTTGAAAGTCATTTCCGTGAGGAATCCGCTAGGCATGACCGGCCAGTACGCCAGAGGAATGGGGTTGCCTGCGCCGAAAAGGAACGTTGTAGAGGGGACGTAGACAATAGCGGAGGGGATGCCGAGATATCGTGCCAAGACGGGGCCACAAGGAAACTCAGGGTTGGTTGACAACACAACGTCGTACTTGACACCTCTCGCGGTTTGTTTCTCCAAGTGCAGAAGTATCGCTTCACAACTTTTGCTGCTCTCTTTCAACAAGACGTCGACAGTTTTCAGCAGGTTCTTGTATTCCCCTTCCCAGTAGTGACCTTCGAAAGCGCGTCCTGCTGCCAATGTTCCCGGGTCGCACGGAACTCCTTCGTACTTCACCTTATCTTGTGGCGGTTTGGTGATCAGGTGCTTGTAGATGTCGTCGGGCATGAGGTTGGTGACAGAGTGCCCCCTAGCGGCTAGAGTGCGCCCCAGCAGCCGGAGGGTTAGCCACGTGCTGTGCGGAGTTTGGGTGATGACCAGAACGTGGGAGCCTTTCTTTGTCGCGGTTTTACCGTCCGATCCTTGAACTTGAAAATCAGAAAACAGCAGCAACAAGACGAAGATGACGTCACGGAGAGACAAGGCCATGGTCATGTACTGACGATGTCACCTGGATGAAAGGTATTTTGACTAAGTTAACAACATGGAAAGTAACCAAGTACAACGGTATTGTATACTGCAATGATCTGTTGGAGTTTATCTTTATCTTTCATCTACTTAGCTTTGATTATGATATGTCGGTGGCTGACTCAATTCCCTAATTCCTCAATTCTCTAGGCCTTCTTTCTTTCCTATTCTAATGATGCCGTCTTATATTAATCTCCAAGCAGATCTTTCGGTGGCTGCAGGACAGTATCAAATTTGCCACTTGCCAGATAGTTAACATTTGCCACTGGGCTGGCTTAGAAAAAAGACACCAGTACAAAAAAGAAAAGCCCGATAAAAACGACTAAAGACACGCCAAAAATAAACAAAAGCTTAAACCTATTCTTATAGAGTAGACTTACATAGGACTTGGGACGGTCACCTTAGATGACCATTCCCACGCTGCGCCTGTCCCAACACTGTGATTCACAGCCATCTTACTGGTTAATGTTTAACAGGTGGTTTCTGACCTCACGTGTAAGTGTAAGTGTAAGGCTCATACAGACCTCGTGCTTGCGGCATACCTAACTCACTAACATTGAACAATAGCGTTACAGCGTTACCCAATTTATAAAAGGTGCACTATACTCAGCAGGTAGGTTATCTGGACACCTCATTTCCGAGACCATAGTCGCCCTTCGCAAACAAGTATATACCGATAATATGGTTTCCATGCAAGCGCCTTTTTGGCAGGCAGTATGTTATGCTGTGTATACTATCTTAGTGAAAATTAACTCGAACGGTTCAAGTTAATTTTCACTAAGTTAGTATACACAGCATACCTGTCATTCAAGGTAACTGAGTAAATCTCACACGTACACCCTTCATACATTGATAACTCGATAGGTGAACAGTCATACCTGAATCCTAGATGTCTATTCTCCAAGTCAAAACACCCACCTACCCTGTAAAGTAACCTGTGATCCACTAAAGGAGAGAGGTGAAGGATGATCAGCCCGTACCTAATAAGTTACATATCTACAGATAACTACTATAGAGAACAACACAGCTGATAGAAATCTCGGCCTTACTTTGACTACTTTGCCCGGTGATTTTGGCTCATTACCAGGTATATTTACGAGGACAGGGTGGCACCCGCGCCCCTTCTATGTCAGTAATCATGGCTATAAAGGCTCTGGTGTTTACGGTTGCTCTCTGAGCGATTTATCTCGGTGTTAATGTTACTGGGCACGTTGTAAAACTATTTTGACATTGTTTTGAGAAGGCTAAAACGAGAGAATATTTTCATAAACTTTGCGGGTTGATCAGTGTTGTGGACGCGATGCCAGGTCTGGTGGGATTCTACGGTGAGGACCAGTGCACAAGATCAGGTAAGAAATATTCTTCTCGCTACACTTGTGTCTTCTCCCTAACTATCAACCGCATCGTTCGTGATGATACGTCACCGTGCATGCACTGGACTTTGGTTAGATTTATCAAGGTTACTCTAATATAAGTAATTGATATGACTGATATGATGACATTGACAAACACCCCGAAGATCAAACGTGTGAAAGACTACCAACGTTGTTAGGACAGAATGGGAAAAATGTACCGAAAGTATATAAAAAGTTGGTCCCGAAGCTAGCTAGGCTTCTCTGGTGCCTGGCTTCTCTGGTGCCTGGCAGATTGATTTGGGCGCGACGAGAATGGCAAGAAATTGACCTTACTGGGTGAACGAATTTGCCGGAGCTCGAGGGTGAAAAACTTGATGGTTTGCCAGCGGGAACAAACTACTGAGGTACATTTTTGACCCGGGTGTGCTGCTTGGGCCTCAAGTTCTGATATCTGTTGTCAAGTGAAGACTACCGAGGAGGCACATGAGGCCCGATGAGAACACAGGTAGTCATCTTTGCCAACGGAGCAATACCAAAACCTACTCTGACAAATAATTCGTTCTATTTTGCCAATTCTTTCAGCATCGGAACCAGTCTGACAGGGACTACTATTGGTACCTTGTTTCGACTCAGTATGCTCACCCTCCGTGCATTCAGCCGGCTGGAGTTCAACTTTCTCGGCCAAAGGCCACTGGGCTCAAGAACTCCGGCACTGGCTCGACTGATTCTATATTTGTAGACTGCTAGCATGTAACAAAAAGTCAAAGACACCCACCTTGAAATTGCTCGAAACTGTTTCCAGTTGGGTTGGCTGTGTGATTCAGTCCCCGACTGTACTTCGCAGTTGCCAAGTGTCGGGACACTGAGGGCAGACCTGGCGCTCAGTGACTGTACTAGTCAAGGTCTTGACATGTTCATTAACTACTTCAGAGAACCACTTTTATGACTTTAACTTGGAGGTTGATTGGTCAATTGGCTACACTGACAACAAAACGTCACATGTTTGTTGTGGCGTGACCATGTAAGGCCGTTCAGCATTGGTTGTCACCAGTCGGACCCGCCCCCTTCTCTGGCGTCCTCTTTAGCACTTGTCACTCATTTCTTGGGAATAAATCTGTCGGGAAGTCAGGTGTACATAAAAAGGTCGTGCCACGTGCAGGTCATCACCGGGCACCAGACAGGTGAGGTGTTAGCCTCCTTCGCAGACTTGTAGGGCAGCAGAGTTAGTTTTTTTTCGGGGAGCGACGCGAGTTATGCCGCGGAGAGAAAGTTTTGCTGCCTAGGGAAGAGATAGCCTCTACCGGGCTTCGGGAGGCGACTGGAAAGAGTAGAAATCGGCCAAACCGAGAGAAAGCATGCCAGGGGAGTTGGTCTGCTGGAGAGAACAGTTTGCCGCACCCGAACAGTTCTCTCAAACAGACCAGCTCCCCTGGCATGCTATCTCTCTATTTGGCCGATTTCTACTCACTCCAGTCGCCTCCGAAGCCTGGTAGAGGCTAGGGAAGAGTGCAAGCAGACTTGATATAGGCGGCGAAACCGTTTCTCCCGGCAAAACTTAATTCGGCGGCAAAACCTTCCTTACCCCGAGGCATAACTCGCGTCGCTCTCCGAAAAAAAAGTTAACTCCGCCGCCCCAGAAGTCTGCACAGGAGGCTAGTGAGGTGCATTGTTGCCTTTGTCTGCAGGTACAGGTACAAAGGTCGCACATTCCCAGCCGGTCATGGTTACGTACAAGATACATGTATCATAAATCGGTATTCGTTCCACAGTGCAGCGCTTTAACTGTTTGATATCTGATGCGCATTTCGAGTCAGTCATGGTTACCTAGATCACTGCATGTACGACTTTTCACTCCCCGATACAACTTTTAAGTACGAGCACACACAACTTCAAATTCGTAATAGAAAAACTATACATTTGATGAATTAAAGTCAAGGTTGTGAAGTATATCATCTTAAGTGAGTTAAGCCTTTTTCTTCGAGTAATGATAAAAGATCAAAGGTCGCACGACGCATGGGATATATGACATTATGGTAAAACCTATTACCTGCTATGCAAACATTCATAAGTGTATGTGTACAAAACGCTTAACTACTATACTAGGCTGCTACGTGTGGAAAGTACAACTGCATTATTAATTGTTACTATTGCAGTGCTATTAATTAATAAGATAAAGGGTGTTTTGAGTCTTGTCTCAACCGGTCCAGACTCAAGTTCGTCCTTCTATCTTGCGTGTAATCTCATCCCCATTTGATCAAACTGTACTCCTGTATGTTTTCTAGCCGCCAAGTGAATGTGATAGAAGCTAATGTTAGTTCTTAGAAAATATAAATAATGTTCTGAAAACGCAAAAAGAACGCACATATGTATGTACGTATGCAGGTTCAGTGGTTCAGTTCGCTAAAGCTTGTTCACTGAGGACGCCTAGTAAAAGTAAGGCTAAGTGCACGTTGGGACACGTGGCGCCGGTCTATACCAAGCATGCCAGAATTATTTTGCACCACATCATTAAGCTGGATAAGGATGGATTACCAAAGCAGGATGGGATATGAGCATATTTGTTTAAGAAGCACACGGATCCAAACCGTAAAGAATCGTATAACTGTAGGCATGAATGGCACCCAATAAAAATATTTGAAATGGTCATGTTTATCCCTTTGCTTTTTCATAGGAGGATTTGAAAGTGATGCACATCTTTTACTACATGTATCAGGACACTATATCTCCAGCACTGCAAGCAAAGACAGACGGCATCCCATCATTATAGACGGATACTGTGTCCTTTATCCTTGCGTGCAGTTCTGGAGATTTCGTACAACTACGAATCGTGTCCTCGTTACGTCATGGAAGATTTCTCTCGGTACGACGTTTCATAAAAATATGGCCTCAGGCCAAAATATCGTCAGACCAGTGACGTAAAAGTCTACCCCAGCACAAAAAATTGCAATCAATTCTATAGACAATGAAATACAATGTATGAGAGTACAGTTTTTCAAATACGTGTAAATTTTGCTTTTATTTCAATCATGTTACTGACGAATTTGACAGCAGTTTCGTCGTTGCACCCTGTGTACAAATGAGTTTCCGAGACAATATCTTCTGTCCGTGCCCTTCCTTCTGTAATCTCCCATGCATGTTACTTTGCCTCCATCAGCGCATGTATCTGAGGAGCTAACGTTATCATTCCACAGACCCATCGTTCTTGTGGATACAATCCGCTGATAACCTGACTCCGCAAGCCCCCTACATCCCTCTGAAGTCTGATCAATAGCGCACTCTCACAGCTTCCTTCCAGAGTGAAACTAGGCCACGTGTGCCTCAGGATTGTCTGTAAGAGGGCAATTTTTCACCCGACATAGATAGTTACTAGTACTCTACACCTCACCACCGTTTCTATGGGCGAAAAGAAGGTGAAGTAATCAGGTAACAAGTGGAAAACAAATTAAATTCTGATATTTATGCAAGATCGACCATTCTGTATTGCTAGACGTCATCCCATCTAATATACATGTAATATCTACCCATGCATTGAATAGTTTGCTTCGGCATTATATACAACCAGGGTCGCCTACCCAACCACATATAGCCTGAGGCAATTGCAAGGGACAGCAGAACTGAGAAGGTTCGTGCGTAGTGCTTCCTAATCACATCAGCTACTGGGGTGGAACTAGCATTCATCTAGTCATAATTATTTTTCAGTCGGCCCTGACTTGTGATTGAAAGATCTCCGGAACAAAGGTTAATTGAATGAGTCTGCCTTGCTTGCTCGTCATAGAAAAGAGAAGAAAAACGTTTATCTTTTCTTTTGGAAAGACGAAAAAGACACGGCAAGGCAAGAAAAAAGACTTCTGGTGCCCTGACTTGGAGCAAGGGCACTTTGTATAATAGCATTGCTTGGAGCAAGGCCATAAAGTCTCACATGCATTTGGCCTCACACAATTTTCTTTATTTATCTGCACACTGGTGCCATTCCATCCACACTTTGCGTGAGATATTCCACTAGGACTGCGTCTATTATATTGTTGATGGAGAAGTAAAAGAAATGGAAAAGTTTAATCTTCTTTTATTAGTTGAAAACTCCGGGCCAGTCCTTCACCTAAAATGTAAGTGGCGGGAGTGGTGGCTGTGCGCAGTGCATGCCGGGAGGTAACACGGATCCAGGGACAAGGTGCGGCGGGCGGCGCTCCTGACGTCCAAAACAGCATCAGAAACTGTTGGAATTCAGACATAACCGCCGCTCTCATCGGCTCTGGCTGCCTCTGCATCGGCCTAGATCGTCCGCCGTGGCCTCTCTCGGACGATTCTTGTGAAGATGGGTGAGTTTTGTTGTTGTTTGTTCGGGTAAAGTCGAAGTAAACAGCCACCGCGTTAGGGGTCACTCATCGACCCAGTTATGGAGGACTTCGCTCCCGCCGCTCCAGTCGGGGTTAACCGAGGCCTTTCCCCGCGTGAACCCGACAGGGTTGTCCCCACAAGCCCCGATTGGGCTCAGTATCGCAGATTATTGTGTTGTGTTGATTATAAACTCCCGCCTGGTGGAATTTTGTGGGAAATATCGGCGAAATAGCCCGATCTCGCGGTGTCTGGGAGGTTGACCTCAGACAACCCTTGTGAACTGACTGTGAACCCAGCGCAAAAATGGCGGTCTCTATGGCCGGGATCGTCTGGCGTCCGGTCTGACCACCGGAACATCACATTATTTACGCCACATTTCCAGCGTTCCCTCTCCCTTTTCTCTACCATTTCCCCCAGTTTTGACCCTGTGTGCGCAGGCGGTTTCGTGTTGTGCTCTTGCGGTTCCGTTGTTACGTGTCTGGGGTGAAATCTCGAGGGTTGTCCCTGGAAGTTTCCCTCAGATGACCCCGAGCTCAGTCGCAGGCCATTACAAAAGCGCTCCGCCCACTTGAAAATGCCCCTTTGGACCGTCGCTAGCGCCGGATTTTTAATATTTTACAAACATCAGACAGCTTTGTGCTACCCGTGTGCCGATCACAAATCGCTGGCACGCCATCTTGGGGAAGGCAGAACGCCCATACTTTTTTTAACGGCGAGGTCTTTTGTGTAATTTTATGCCGTGTATTTGGACTGTCCTTTAAAAATGCAGGGCTGAGATTCGGTTGCTCGGCCCTTCTGCAGTGACAGGCAAGCATGCATGTAAATCGTCCACACGTCGCACTGCATTTATCTTCCAAACAGAGCAGAGTACCGGTGTAGGATTGTTAAAAAACGTGCATGGGTACAGAGACAAGCATAAATCATTCATACCACTCCACTGTAATCATGGCAATATTGCTAGATCCCCTATGAACTAAACAAATTTGTTAAGTGGATTTTTTTTTAGAACTGCCTACAAACAAGCCACTTCCCCAAGTGCTATTTTACATCCCTGCTTCTCTCAATCCACCTTTCAAAAACAGTCTATTGTATTGTGATTTTTCTTTCAAATTCAAGAGCATGGCATTGACATTGACCATCCAGATGGCTTGCTTACAAAAAGGTTCTCCTATGTCTGAATGTTATCTGAAGTCAAAGTAATACAATATTTCAAGTCATTTTATAGACAGAAAACAAAGAAGCAGCCAGATAGTCTTACTAAGCTTATAAGAGTGGCATTCAAGTTAAACATTGTCCTGTTGAAAATACATTTTGTATATTTTTCTGTGGTTTATCACCTTGTTTGCCCAACATTCTATGGCCAGATGGGAGGGGGTGTTGGCTTGTTGCCAGTCTGTGGTGGCCAGTAGTCACTGGTTCCTGCCAACATTTCACAAAAGAAGTCCAATTTGTCATATGTACAATGTTTAAGCAAGTTAATAGGGGTGTAGGACCCATTCTATATCTATGTAGATCTTGTTACACTTACAGTGTTCTTTCCAGATCAGTTTCTTGGCATCTTTGTTCACCCTTTTTTGCTGGGGATCTCTTTTGCTCTGGCAAGCAGTGTCCACAGTTTTTCCAATCAGCACTTTAGGAAATTAGGTCACTAGTATGAAAAAATGTCTCTCGTTGGAGTTTTCACATGTGTTGTGTATAACTGCAGCTACTTTCAGCAGTGTGATATTATGATTTTTTTATCTGCTGATCTCTGATTGCTACCATGTTTTAATGACTTGCTGCCAACAGGAGAGAGGTCCTCTCAGGCTGGTGGGAAAGCTGTCTTGGAATCAAAGGGAACACAGAATTCCTGTGGGTTGGGGGTTGAGCCCCCTGACTGCTCCTATAGTAAAGCAAGCTCCCGAGATTTGATTGTCTTCAAACCTTTGCAATGCAGGATTTCAGATGAGACCCATGCGATGAGCATTTAGTATGATTCAGATCCTGGGATGAGCCAAGCGAAATCTTCATTTGGCATGGAAACGGGGGTTGGAAAAGAAGGGGTCATCCTTGTAATCCCACACCCTTGATTAGAAATTCTGGCTGTGCTTTGTGCAGGCTGGTTTCAAAGCAAGACACAACTGATTATTCAGTACTGACACACATATTAGCTTGTTTGTTATGCTGAAATGGTAGGTTGTGCCATATGATTGATATTCATACTCTTCTAGTTCTACTTTTCCCTACAGGTATAAACATAATTGTATCGTAGTCTATTCATATTTTTTGGAACGAAAATTTTCTTCTTTGTGTAGCGTCACGCCATGTAGGTCTGGAGTGATCTGCACAGTAGTGATATCACCACATTATGAGTAAACAGACTGTGTTGCCTTCAGTCAGGGTACTATTTATGGCAGTCCTGATAATGTATCAGCCCTTTTGTTTACATACTTAAGGTTTGAAAGCAAGAACCTGTAACTGTGTAAGAGAATGACATACTTCAATATATACTGGTTGCCTGAAAAGTGCATCCTTTCATTTTCAACACCACAACTTCGTTAGTAAACCATACTGCCATATTGTGTAGCTATATGTTGCAGAAATCAAATTGATGTCAGTAGAATTAAATTTCTGAGCATGAAACCTCCCTTGGGAAGCCCCAATTGCATTTGATTGTAGATGTGATGCCTTGTCATTGATTAGGTTTGAGTTGGGCCTAGTAACAGTTGGGTGTTGTTGTCTTGTATCTAGGAAATAGAATTTTCTCACTAGATACATGTGTGTATGTGTGCAGAGGTTAGGTGTTACTGGTTGTTCAGTGTAATATAACCAGCCACTGCCATGCTGTATTGCCTGTGAAGCTGGTTCATTTCATCAGGTTGGTAAGTCACAGACGGTCCCCGAAACATCGGCTGAATAAAACACTTGGTTGTGTTAAAAGAGTCTCTTTATTCTGTGAAGCTGGTTGTTATATGCCAAAGCAGCCTTGTGACCAAACACATAATATAGCGGCTCAGTCTCTTTTGTCCTCTCTGCAAATAGGAAAGAGACTCCGCCACCAAAATAGATTTGGTCCCCAGGATAACATCGTAAGGGCAGTTATACCAGCAATACAAGTCCAGATCTCAATAGATTTCAACAATATCATTGCGTCCATTCTTTAGATGTACGTAAATGTAATTTCAAAAGATGTTGCATTAGAAAGTGAGTATCATTGAAGAGCTTGTGCTGTTTTTCTTCTCATGTTTCCATCGTTTGTTTTGAATCGGGATAACACTCCAGCTCAAATCACAAATTGATGTATCTCAGTAAGACAACCCCTGACATCCTATCTCCCATGTGGTAACAAAACTCCTGGTATGACCAGGGGCCACACTTTCTAGATCTAATGCCACTTGCATATGAATTGACAATATTATTGTTACACACTTGTAGCTATATTGAAAATATTTAAAGTTAATTGTGTATGTAGATTAGATTTTAGACTAGTTTCTCAGCTTTTGCCATCCTTTTGTACCTTATTCAGTTGTTGCACAGGAAGGTTAATGTCTTGAAGAAAAAAAGTTACCAATAACCATAGCACATTGTTTTCCATGCTGTCAGACAAATATTGGAGCATGCATATTTTAAGGTAATCAATTGCACTGGACTGTGATATGTATAACTATTGAAAGATGTCAAGGACAACCAATAGGTGTGCATTGATTGAGTTACTCACTTGTGCTTTATTCATGATATAGATGGACAATATGATGCATGTAAAACTGGGTATTCATGCATTTTAGCTTTGGTATGCATATCCTCTGTGTTAACAGGTTACAGATACATGCACAAATGTGAAGTCATTCAGCTAAAATTTACAGCAAATTTTACAGCAAAAGCATTTTCTATTGTAAATCTTATGTCTGCATGTTTGGTACTTTCTATGTCAGTTTATCTCACAAAACCTACACAAAACCATACTATGAGTGAGTAGGTTTTTTGGAACATGGTGATGTACCATATATTACAGTAGCCCAAGCTCTGACCTTAGGTAGCATTTGTGTCCCATAAAGTAGTGCACACACTACACCCACATGCAAGCAGCCCTGGCCAATTCAACATTCCACTACGCCTAATTGCTGAAACTGGGGATCAAAACAGCTAATCCTGGAGATGTTATGTAACGCTTATGGTAATGCATGAGTTGTGTTAAAGGTGACAGCCTTCTGGCATTTCAATTTATTTGAGTGTCTAGATCAGTAGATACATGTACATAACGTTTCTGTGCAGTACATGTAAGACCCACTGTATTATAATATTATTGCAATGTAAGCGTTTGAGACTAAGTCACTCAGTATGTTCAGTCCTTATTGGTGTGTCTTTGATAAATGTACAAAGGATGAAGAGGTTCAATATGAAATTTTTTATTGAACAATTTTTTTGTAGGTACATGTAATACAAATCAAGATCACAAGAAAAATATTACATATTATATACATACATTACTTGACAGACTTATTTCAAAATTACACAAGTAAACTATGGACAAGTAGACAATTGCAGTCTTTCCTGATACATTTTTTTCTTCAGCAAAAATATGATGTTAATGAACAGGAGTTGGAGAGTCTATTATTTCTTAATTATCAGGATCCAAACTGACTGAAAGATGTAATCAAAGAAAATTGTAGCTGAAGATTTAATCAGCCAGAACATCAGGCATGGCAGATAAGAATGAAACTAACCAATACTAACAAGCCTTAATGGACTTGGCTGTCTACATGCACATTGGACAAAAACTCCCCAGTGGATAATTTTGGAGTAGGAGACTGGCTGGTTAGGCTGGTACACAGGATGTGCTGAATTGGACTTCCTATCTGCTAATCACTGTATTTTACCATCCATTTGCACTGCTGTATTTTACTTCACCACAAAGTTCTTGCACAGTATGATCAACTCATAGTTATTGGTACTAGGCACTTACAATCACTGTTACTTATGAGCTGTAAAAATCATGGGTAGAAAATTATGGGGAGAAGCCGAGATGTTGACCTTTGCCAAGAACTGAATGAAGGTAGTGAGCCCCAGCCACTCACAGGGCACGTATTTAAATTCAATGAAATTCCCACTTAGTTTCCAGGTAAGAAATTATACCTACTCTATAGGTGACTCCAAGAAAGTGTGCTCTCAAGGAAAGGTCACTGGAAAATGTTATATTAGCATATGACTGTTATAAGTAAGTGAAGGCAGGACCATCAGAATAGTAATACGTGCCATGTAGGTTTCGTTCGGTTTTACCTTGTATAAGAGTGAAAAGAATTGCTTGTCGGTTTTGCCGAAGGATAGAGAAAGGATTTCTTCACAATTTGCAGGTAGGTAAAATTTTAGGTTTTATTGATCTAGTATTGAGCAGGCTGATACGTTTAATACAGAAAACTACCAGAAAAATCTTGCTCGAATGCAGTTTATGATGGAGATATTTTTGTGTGTTCTGTGTAGCTTGTAGGGTTCTAGAGATTATAGTCAAACATTTGAACATCCTTTGCCTGTGTAATGTTTCAAGCTTTCTCAGTTACACCACATGGACACTTTGAGGACGATATTGTACACTGTTACTCAGATATATGTCAGGGCTCGAACTTAACGATGTCCCGATGTCCCCTGGCCACTAAAATTTCGGCCGGGACAACTGAAAAATCACTTTGGGACACTTTTGGGATACTGGAAAAATAACGAACATTCACAATCAGAATGTCAGCCGTTCATACGTTTGTCAGGCGCGCAACCCATTTTTGGGCCTCACCAAAAGCCGCCGAATTCGATATACACTCAGCTGAGCAGCGCGTGTGGCACCCGTGTACGCAAGTGGCCACTATTTTGTCGCCCCGCCCATCGCCTTTGATCTATTGCAGCCCGTCGCCTTGGCGCCACTTTCCCACGCCAGTTCCCAGACATTCTATCCATGTAAACAACATTCAACCAATCACAGCTTCCATCCAATCAAGGCATCTGCCATATATGGCGAACTGTAACTGTTTAATGTTCGGATATTTCCGGAGATGCTTGGGAGATCAGCTGACAATGCCAAATATAGTGAACCGGCAAAGCTCGGGAATGTACGGTGTCTTTCGGTAAACTTCGCGTAGTTTCCCGCGAAATGACGAATGGAATGCCGAAAACAGCCGAAATGAGAAAATTTGAGAGTCATGGCCGGCATGGCACAGAGGAAAATTACCTCTTTTTTCTCCTCGCCGCGAGCGGCCCCGGCGTCGAATGCAGTCAGTGCTGTCGATCCTCAAAGACGTTCAGGATCATCTCAGTCTGAAGGCGTGGTTTCAACAACTGAGAGTCAGCCTCCAGATCGTACGGCCGGTACGAAAGAGGGATGCGCCGACGGAAGGGGGGAGGGGGGCTTGATTCAGCCCGATTGCCGACCAGGGCCTTCAGACGCGGGAAACGCCAATGACAGTCCTGCTGCTTCTAGTCATGAAGGGGACTCTGACATGTCTGATGAGTCTGAATCAGAAACCCTCACGGACAAGCGGCCTTCGAAGAAGTCTTCGGTAATTTAATTTTTTTTTCCACTCCAATATTATTGACAAGTAACATTAAATATTGTCAAGTAAATGTTTTTTCTTTAACTTTAAAAAAAAAGGAAAATTCCGTACTAGTCACAGTCTATACATTTTTCATAGATTTAGTACCTACATTATAAGGCCTTGTTCTTTGACCTCAATCTAATTTCAATAAACTGTTGTAAATGGCCAAGGTTATTGTTCTTTTAATTTTGTGACTCAGTAAATGTGTATTACTGTTTTTATTTTTTTCTGCTTTCTACAAACTTGTATGTTTTTTTATCTTTTTGTCAGAAATAAATTGATTAATTAATACATTGATTGAACTTTATCAATTTAGCTTCAATTGTCTTTATTTGGTACTTTGATTTCACTTTAGGACACAGTGCCACCTTCTCGGAAATACGAGGCTAAGAGGAAAGTGCCACCTTCTCGGAAATACGAGGCTAAGAGGAAACGATGCTTCTTGGAAAAGTGGAGGACAGATTATGACTTTGTTGACTATGATTATCAAGCAGAGATGATGTATTGCAAGAAATGTAGGGCCATGCCCACATTGGCAAAGGGCAATGCCCTATTCCACGGTGTAACTGGTGATAAGGTTCGAAGAAGAACACTCAAAATCCATGCCAAATCCTTGACACATGTCAGGATTTTGAGTCTACTGTTACAGCCAGAAGGGAATCTCGTGACCTGAAGGTAGACTGGAGAGCCTCTCTCAGCAACGAGATGCTGAACCACCTGCTTCATCTCCAGTCTGACTTTGTTCGTTTCATACTGGAGAAGCCTCTCTCGCAACAAGATGAGTTCATGGGTATTACCAGGTATATCTCCACTAGAACTCTCATGTGCTCAAATTGTTCAGGTCTCCCAATTGTCCCCACAAGGTACAAGATGTAAGATGCATGTATTGCCGACTCACAACTACCTTCAGGTCACGAGATTCCAGTACTATATTATACTGCATGTATTACAATTCACAAATATTTACATTTACTAGACAAAAAGTTTTACATAAGAAAAAAAAAACATTTCTCTCCTTCCACTTGTAATGTGCAGGCTACAGCAAGTGGCCCCTGTAAAGTGTGCATACTGCATGCTGCACACTGCAGTACTATATACTGCATCATGTATTACAATCCACAAATATTTACATTTACTAGACAAAAAGTTTTACATAAGAAAAAAACATTTCTTTCCTTCCTTCCTTCCACTTGTGATGTGCAGGCTACAGCAAGTGGACCCCTGTAAAGTGTGCATACTGCATGCTGCACACTGCAGTACTATATACTTCCACTTACACAGAACAAACACAAACAACATACACTAGTCTAGATGCTCTGGCCTCCTCATACGGCGGCCAGTATTCCACCATCTCAAGATTGCAGCTTCAGCATTATACTCAGATACAGCATGCAGTATAATATAGTACTGCAGTGTGCAGCATGCAGTATGCACACTTTACAGGGGCCACTTGCTGTAGCCTACACATAACAAGTGGAAGGAAAGAAAATGGAAAGAAAGTTTGAAAAGAACTTTGTTACATTTGTCTTTGTTACATTTGTCGGCACAATAAACCAGCCAAGACAAGTTTCAATTTGAGTTGATTTGTGTTTATTTCAATTGACAATTAGCTTACACAGCAATACTGTTCTCTGACTCAGCTTTATTGTTGTTGTAATACATACTTCCTGAAAACCAGTTTGGGACAGTCCATCCTCACTTTGGGACAGTTGGAATTTATTTTTGGGACAGTTCTGGGACAGTAGGGAAAAAAGTTAAGTTCGAGCCCTGTATGTACACCTTTATTCTGTGTGAAGAGGTATATGTAGGTGGAATTTCTTTCTACTCCTGAAATATTGTAGCACTGTACATGTACAATGTAGCAGTATCAATATTACGATCATTCTGGACTGATATTTTGGAAAAGAGACAACAGATCCCACTCAGTTGTCATAAAATAGCCTCATCTGCTGATTCCAAATTGCAATTTGTCCTCTTGGGTTTAATTACTCATAGTTGGCTTAACAAAAATCAATAACTCTTTCCTAGATGCTGCAGGTTATCACACTTCAATGTTTAATGTCATGGTTCCTTTCTGAAACAATTTTATCCCAGCTAGACAGGAACATTGTATTTGTGTATGATGTTATCGTTACGGTAAATAACATAGGCGTGACAGTATGTAGGATGTTCTTGTTGATGCATAGAACATGTCACAATAGAAGTTATCATTCCACTTTATTGTTAATCACATAAAAAAGCTTTTACTGCAGCATAAATCATGAGACTGTCAGATCTGGTGGTATGTTTTGTGATGTTCAACATGTCTGTAACACCAGATGTATATTCAATGATTGAACATGGCATTGTGTTGTGGAACTGGTGTGAACCTGTAGCTCACTACTGGTAAGTTTCCTATTTGTTTGACAATATAGTGGGGGAAAATACCAAGTCAAAAATAGCCACACAGAGTTTGCAACCATATCACAATTTATTTTGACAGAATCTAAGGATAGTGTTACTGCATTATGAACAAAATATACAGATACCTTTCTCTACTATACAAATTTTCAATGTATAAGAGGAATGTTGAATATTTTGAAAGGGAAAAAGTGCTACAAATTAGTGCAAAATGTAGCAAAGTACAAGGTTAATATATTCGTTGCATTTTCAATCAGATCTGTGGGTTAAAAACAAAAAAAAATCAACTAAAATATCTACATAGACAGGACCATCAGGTTTGCATTTTTATGTTTCAAAGTCACCCTGATAATTGGTATATTCTGCTACACTTCACAATGTTATTTTGTTGGACATCTGCGCTGACTTGTGCCATCTGTGAGTACAGTAATCACACAGTATTCATGTAGACTTCCAACAATACGTTAGAAGGGCGGGTGACTGGCACGCTTTCTGCTGACAAAGAAACAAACAACAGCAGAGCCAGGTGTTGAACTTGGCATTGAAAATCATCTTCCACACCACTGAACAGCTGATAAGGTAATCTTTATTAAGTTAACGATCAGTAGGCATCTTCGCTTATGTTTTATCTCCGAAAACTTTCTCAGCAGAAAAATCTTGGTACATTTATCGATATTTGACTGCTCTAAACAGTTCCCTGTTATGGAGTAAGGGCCAAAACTATAATCTCCAAGCAGATGTTGGGTTCATGTAGAAGATTGTATAGTTTTCTGACCAGCAATTTTTTTTCTGACTCTGTAGTCCTGTATATTGTTGGTACATGTATGTTGGGCTAGAAAACTGACACACCCAAAAAATACAGGTGGTTAAAAATTTATAATTTTCCAACCCGATACCTGCTTGGAGATCGCAGAAAGATAAAAGCAGAAACTTGCAAACTTTTGCCATCATAAAATGCATGGACGTGGACAACATTTACGCCGGTGTCTGTTGGGAATGTATTATGACATGTTGAAGGATAGTTCCCCGGCTGAAGAATGCACTCTGCACAGGCCCGCTGCATGCACACATGGAGAAAGATCCATTATGATAATTGTGATGCTATTCATCTCCTGAAACAGGCTCCTGTAGAAAAAGGTCACCCCCTCCGTGGAGACTCTTCCCTGTCAGAAAGGAGCCAGTGAATGGCAGCTGACATTTGCCTGACATATGCAGAGCAGAACCCACGTTTCTGTCGCATTAGCATCGCAATTTCCCAGAACTTCTCAGTTTTTAACAGAGATCCTTTTGTTCAGAATTGAAAGATAGAATAAAATTCTGATATTTGTCTGAGATGTTGTGTTCCTGTTGCATTAGATCTAGCAGTTCCTCAGAACCCACGTTTCTGCCACATTAGCATTGCAATTTCCTGGAACTTCTCAGTTTTTAACAGAGATTCTTTTGTTCAGAATTGAAAGATAGATATTTGTCTGACACTTTGTGTTCCTGTTACATTAGATCTAGCAGTTATTACACCCATGTTTCTGTCGCATTTAGTAATTTCCCAGAATTTTGCTCAGAATTGAAAGATATTTGTGTGAAACATTTAGGAAGGGACCTGTGTTGCTGTCGCATTAGCAATTTTCTCTAACTTCTCAGTTTTTACCTGAGATGCTTTTGTTCAGAATTGAAAGATATTTGTCTGACACTTTGTGTTCCTGTTGCAATAGATCCAGCAGTTTCTCAGATCTTACTTTTGAGAACTTGTTAGTTTTTTGAAAAATGACGTATGTTTATGACCATCTAAATACACGCCACAGTGTTCAAGGAGGATGTGTCCTCTTTCAACCTAGGAAATTTAATTGTCCTCTTTGAGCCTGGGAAATTTGATATTGGTAACTAAGAAAGATGAGGCATACTGTACACTGGTGTCTTTTGATGTTTTTCTTGGAGAGAAATTAGAGGAACCTCCTGAAGGTATTGTTAGCTAGCACAGTCAGGATGAAAGATCCAAGGTTTTCATATTCATAACACAATAGTGTAGCCTGGAGCACGATATCAGCTGTTGAAGGTTTTTGCATACCAGGTAAATATTCATCATTTGTATTGAAAAAAATTTAAAAAACAACTTCATTGCCAGGTATATCAGATTTCGAGAATTTTTATGTACTGTACAGTTTCAAATATTTGAAATTTAACATTTGCTTGGAGTGTAAAATTTTCGGATTTTGAATGTGGTAATCACATGTATGTAATTATGCTCAGTCATCTCTCTGCTTTCCCCATGTTATACATTTAATTCCTTTAAACAAAACAGCCTTTTGGTTTAGTGCTTATCATCATGAATCAGAAAGGAGATGTTGCCGTGAAAATTGATGTAAAACTTTGGACGGATGCTGGAAAATCTCATTTCGACACTTATCTCTTGCTTTCACGCACCCATCTGCCAAGTAACTTCTCGAAAGCCTGCGAAACAATAAAGAAGCTCAAAGTTTTGCGAAATGAACAATGCAACACAAAATGGCAATGTGATGGGAAAGACCTTTTTGAGACCATGACATTTAAGTGCCTTTCAGAAAAGATTATCCCCGAACGTTATCAAAATGAGATCTCTGGCTAAAGGCTGATGGATGCAGACAGTTCAGACAAGTTGCACATCTTCTGGCAATTCATTTTTCCTGGACGAAATGCCCTTATATGTCATCGTCTCCTGCGAGGCGGCTTGGTCAGCCAGGATAGAAGCCATCTCCGCTGAGCTGACATTTAGGAGATGGGGGAGATTGTCGTTTTATTCCTCCTGGAATTAAGGTTGGAAGCACTACTGGCAGTGCCCAGTACATGCAACAGGTACAGTTGGTAGTGAGTTATAATGAGGGGTTCTGGATTGGAGATTTTGGACTGTATTCGTATAAGATGACAGTTTTGCTGTCTTTCCTATACTGTTTTCTTAATAAAAGCAGTTGAATTGTTTGGAATTCTGTTGTCAAAGAAAGGGGGTCAGAAGATGTAATTTTGAAAGATTTTGACTCTCGTGTCTTTACATAAAAGCAGGCCACAAATTTTACCTTTTACCTGAAAATCTGTTTGATAGCCCACCTGTTTACCAAATTGCATACCGGTGAGAAAAATTTAGAATTTTCGTACTGTCGCGAACAGACTGCTACACCTAATTACTGGTGGTGAAAAAAATAAACCATGTGGTTGAAGGCTCTAGGCACCCTTCCAAATTGCTGTCTTCTTGTTGGCCTACTGTGGCATTTGTCTGACATTTCAGTGCATGCATAAGGTGGCAGTTACGCCATGTTTTACCCTGGAGG